AGAATAATGACCATGAAAATATTTATAGAAAGGCACAAGGAGGCTATGTTACAGCAGTGAGGAAATGACTGAAGCCGAGATGCCAGGTCAGGAATGATAAGATTGCATCTTTTATTCTTTGACTGAAAATTATATTTTTCAAAATCAAACTTTACAGAGGAAACAATAATTATTTGATACATGTTTATGCATCAATATGCACATATTTTCAAAAATTATTATCATATATATATATATATATATATATATATATATATATATATATATATATATATATATATATATATATATATATATATATATCGACTCTCCCGTCGAATTCGACGTATGAGGGTAAAACAGATCAGTTCTAGGAAACTGACAGCCCGACAGCAGCAGATGATATTTGATTATAGTGGTGAAGATTTCGTGCAGGACCATCCACCCTTTTGAAGGGCCGAATACAGAGACCTGGTGCACTACGTGCCACAAGGTCTCCAAACGACCCTCCACAGGTTTTTAATTCACAGTTGTTCTTCTCCTAGACCAGTTGCGGCATGGATTGAGGAATCGGAGAGCCGAGTTCGAATTCCAGTCGAATCCATTACATTCACTTACGTGCTAATACCCTTGAGAAAGGTATGAATCCTCTTCTTCTCCCTCCAGCTATGGGTAAATAGCAGGACAGACTGGTTTCTATAGCCTTAAATATATATATATATATATATATATATATATATATATATATATATATATATATATATATATACTAGTAGTAGAGCCGGCGTTGCCCGGGGATGTAACAGTAAGTGATAGATCAAGTATCGACCATCATAAAGACTGAAAAATAAAATTGACAAAGATTACTGTTTAAGGTTGACGGACACGTATGTCTTAATTAGTTTTTTTTTTTTTTTTTTTACGAATTGGTCAAACCCAAACTCAAAAATAAACTTTGTTTTCAATCGTTATGAGTCTATCGATTGAATAGAATTTTATTATAAACAATTGTCTTGTAAATGGAATTTTTAAAGCATTCTGAATGTAAAAATAAAAAAAAAAAAAGTGTGACAACAAGAAACACTACCTGCCCAAAAAGTTAAGTTTTGTTGAAATCGGTTGAAAAATGTAGGAAATTCGATCCCATATATAAACGAACACACACACACACACACACACACACACACACACACACACACACACACACACACAAACAACCTGGGGTTTTATAATAAGTATAACTCGATATGAGTTGTCCCCCTTTCATTCTGGCGACAGAACCGTGTTTTATCGTGTTTTCAAATTGATTGGGTGCCAAAAATGTTTTTCCAATTTCTGGCGCTGTCAGAACCACCGCAAGGTAATTTTACGCAGCCCTGTGAAGTTTTGTTGAAATCGGTTGAAAATGTAGGAAATCCGATCCAATATATAAACGTACAGACACACACACACACACACACAATCTGCCTTTTATAATAAGTAATATATATATATATATATATATATATATATATATATATATTTATATATATATGTAAGAAATCGAAGATGTTAATGTCTACCGTTTCATTTTTGTGACGTTTAGCATTAATGAGTCAGAGGGTGAAATCTGTTATTAATACTCTATATTTATAAACCTATAATATATATATATATATATTAGCGAAATTTCAACAACAACAACAAAAATTCTAATTAATACCGGACATTTATTTAAATTTTTATAATTAATAACGGATTTTACGGTGGGCATGAGCGGGTTAAGTTTAGAAACTTTGCAATTAATTTACATTTACATATACGCACCTATATTTTATGGATGCAAAACGACTTGCATATAAGATTATAACGAATCTACTTTCCTCCTGGATCCAATGACTTGTAACGGCAGCAGGGGACAGACTGTCTAGAAACCTACGTGAAAACACACCCACCCATATATATATATATATATATATATATATACACAGACACATATGTATATATATGGGAAAAGGAAGTTGAAAATGCAAATGGAGTGTCTAAGAATATTTATTTTGAGTAAATTTACCGGTTTCACATCATACATCTTGCATCTCCTAGATGCTAGACATATCAGGGCGTAGCCACACGTCTCCATCTCAATTTAACTTTTGAAAATCATCGGGACCATGAAACCGGTAGAGTTACTCTACATGAATATTTTTTAAAACTCCTTGTTTTTATTATATTTTTCCCGTATAGGATATATATAAAGAAAAATCCCTTTCTCATATATATATATATATATATATTAAAATCCACCGACAAACTATTTCGCTGTATCACAGATAGACATCCGATTGCCTCAAGCCAGGATCGAAACCCGACTGATTTGGCACCAGTCGGAGATTTCCTCCTAATCTATCAGCTCCTGGCAGAAAGGTTGGTGAATTTTTACTTATTTATTTTTGAATAAATATGCCAGTGACTCAGAGTGTTCGATTCATAGAAGAGCATTGTCTTATCAGCAGTAGTAGTCACTGCTTATAAATTCGCGCTTTCCATCTACAGTTCTGTAGAAAAGACAGAGAGAAGCCACATCAAGTCTGTGATAAAGTGACTGAAGTCGATATGCCAGGACAGGATCGATTATATTGCAGAACCTTCTTTGGATTTTGTCGGTAACCTCGAGATGAACAGCAGAGGCACCAGACCAGATATAGCAACAATATTCGATACATGGACGAATGGTAAATTTGTAGATGTAAAAAATGGACTCTGAAGAGAAAAGAGAACCAACTTTCATTCAAAAATTATTCATGCAATATTCACTTGCAAAGGAATTATTTTCCATGAGTTCAAAATATGCTTCGGATTTGAATAAGCTACAAAGGGTTGATAAGCCGTAAACATCAAATCAATCTATCAACATGGTGTCATGTACGTATGTTATATGTTTTTTATTCATTTCCCTCTAAGGAAGACAGTAAGACTCAAGGATGTACAAAATGTGTAAGAATATGAGAAAAATAAAATATTATCAAGGAGAAAAAACAATAAAAGAACGGGAAGTAAGAAGACGGAAGATAACGATTGACATTGCATTTGGAATTTTGAAGAGCAAAGCTGTCTGATATCCAAGAAACCAAAAGAGCGATCCACAGGCGAGAAAAGAAACTGTTAGCATAGAACATTCGGTTAAATCCAGCCATTTCAACTGTAAATGGGCGAATCCTTGCCGCCATTCTAATACTATAGAGGAAAATTCATCAGAACAAAATTTATAGGGAAGCTACACTACGGCGGTGGAAAATTGACTAAAGACGAGATGCCAGGTCAGGACCAATAACTTTGGATTTTATGAAGAATCTCTAAATATATAGCAGAAGGTAAGTAACTGGTGATTTAATGATTTTTAAGAAAATTTCAAAAGCAAAGTGTTACCTCTTTTCTGAAAGATAAAGGGGGGGGGGTTTAAACATTATGTCAGAATTAAATTCTGACCTTATGTCCCACCCCGCTTTATTATTCAGAAAAGAGGTAACATTTTGCTTTTGACATTTTCTTAAAAATCATGTATCTCCAGTTACCATCGACTGAAGAAGTACAATCCAAATATTGAAACATGAAAGATTTTGTGTAGCGATTTCAACATATTTTATTATAATCTCTTATAATATATATATATATATATATATATATATATAAATAAATAAATATATATATATATATATATATATATATATATATATATATATATAGAGAGAGAGAGAGAGAGAGAGAGGAGGGGGAGAGAGATGAGATGAGAAAAACCGAAAATTATTTTTATTTAATTATCTCAATGTCGGTTCTGAGTTCCGATGTAAACTTAAATATAAATTATTTCATAAGCCTTTTATAAAGTTTTTTTTTTTTTTGGCACTATGTCAGTTTCATCATTTTCTTTTCATTTATTCTGTTTTGTCTTATCGCTTCGTTGTTTTCTTCGTTTCTTTTTGTTTTGTTTTTTGTTTTTTTATCTTCGCATGATGGCTGGCTAGTCATGACATTCGAGACTGCGATTGCAGAACACCTCTTAAATAATTTGATCTCAGAAACGTAGTCGTCAGCAGAGTACGTTCAGATTATCACGTGTACGTACTTACATCCTACCTAAGCAGTTCGCCGTCCGTTAACAGAAGGCGGGGTTTGTTGATCCCAGTGTTATCGATTTATGTATCATAGTTCTGATTGGCTCTGATAATTTTCCCCTAATTATATTTTCATCACTGTGCACGAATTCGTAGTGTTTTTTTGTCTGAGAAGATCTGGAACAATAGCTAGTTAGCTTCATTTTTGTTATTGTCGTTGTTTATATAATTTCCCAGCCAAATTATTTTTCAACAGATGATAGTCAAATCAGGAGAATCGGAAGTGGGATCAATCAGTTCAAAGCCACTGTCGGTGTATAATATCCCACCCACGAGGAATATATGTGACACAAGGCCGAGTTTAAAGTGGGTTTCTCCGAGCCCGTAGGCTCAGCCACAGGGTTTGTCTACCTCACCTGACGCAACCTTGCCCTTCGGCAAAGCTTCGTTCAGGTTCCTCTCTGGCAAAGCAGAGAGTTCGACAGACGTCGAGACTGTATCTCGAAGGTTCAAAGCCACTGTCATACACAGCAGCTATTGAAACCAAGGACCTGATGTAACAAGACACTTTCGTCAGTGCCTTTGTTCTTGATAGCCATTGGTTACTACCTCATCATGTTGGCATTGTACTCTCTATTGATGGTGTGGCCCTTTTGAAGATAGTCAATAAACACAATGCCTTTTGCATCTAAAAAACAACTGAAGCCATTACATTCCCTGCAGATGAAACGACTATAGCCTTCTTTGGAGCAGGTGAGGAGGGGTATTTCCATTTCGTGCTAAGTTATTCTCTTTTTTTTTCATTCATTCATTTTTCTTCCTTTCTTTCTTTATTTGATTGTTAATTTACTTTTAATATGTTTTTATTTTTGTTTTTACTTTCCTTCTTCCACCTTTTTCCTTCTTTATCAGTACCACCGGTTTTAAGGTATGTTTTTTTTTTTACTTTTAACATTCTTTCTTTCATCTTTCTTTTTCTTTCTTTGGTTTTTACTTTTTTCTGTCATTAAGATGTTTTTCTGTTGTTTACTTCATCGTTTTTTTCCTCTAATCCTTGTCATTTATGCACTTTTCATCCACTAGTTCCTTTCAGTTTTTTAGTTTTCCTTCCATTCTTCACTGTTTCTTTCTGTCTTTGTTTTCTTTCTTTTTCTATATGAATTCTTTTATTTATATCCTTCTTTTCTCGTTCTTTTTTTTTTTTTTTCATTACAGTATCTTTGCTTTTTTTCTGTCCTTGCTCTTCTTTCTTTTTCTCTTTCTTTTATCTTTCTTCCTTGTTTTTATCCTCTTTGCTTATTTCATTCTTTCTTTCTTTCTTTCTTTCTCGTTTTTACCCTCTTTGCTTTCATTCTTTCTTTATTTCTCGTTTTTACCCTCTTTGCTTATTTCATTGTTTCTTTCTTTCTTTCTTTCTTTCTTTCTTTCTTTCATTGCAAGCATTGTTGTTCATCCTTTCGATGAATTATTCATTCTTTCTTTTATCTTTTTTCCTTCCTTCCTTTCTTTCTTTGCAAGCATTAATCTTCATCTTTCGAAGCATTAGTCTTTCTTTCTTTCTTTCTTTCTTTTTTTCTTTCTTTCTTTCTTTCTTTGGAAGTACTATTCTTCATCCTGTTGAATCATTATTCTTTCTTTCTTTCTTTCTTTCTTTCTTTCTTTCTTTCTTATTTCTTTTACTTTTTAATTCTCCTCTTTCAGTTCCTTTTCATGCTTTTCTTGTTTCTTTATATTTTATTACTTTCATTTTCATTATTTTTCATTTTCATCCTTTTTCTCTTTGTCTGGTGTTTTTCATTTTCTTCCTCCTTTTTTGTTATACATCATGCCTATGAACACTAATGGGTATGTCCCAATCCTCATAAATCTATTGGACACTATTGTAAGTGGGAGTAATATGCTAACTAGTCCACCACTAACACTGGTGGACTACTTAACATATTACTAATTAATCCTACCGTGCTCCGAGTGATACCAAATCAGTGGGGTTTCAATCCTGGTTTGATGGTAATCAGATATCTAGCGAAACACTCTCTCTGCTCATGACAATATATATATATATATATATATATATATATATATATATATATATATATATATATATATATATATATATATATATATATATATATATATATATATAATTCAAATAATTATAATTTAATTCAATTTAATTCAAATAATTATATTGAAGTTTTCGGCTCTTGTTTTTTGAAACATGTGAAGTCTTATGTAGCGATGGAATAATATTTTTAAATAAATAATTATATTATATATATATATATATATATATATATATATATATATATAGCAACTAGCAAATTTAAACTAGATTTATTTATGATGAATTGACAAGTTACAGTAATCCCACGATTAGTGCGGCTAAAGAGTACATTAAAACATACGTACTCTTCGAAAACGCATTAATCGAATATAATATCTTATACGAAATAATGTAATTTTAGTCGCATTCACAATTAATTATTAATTTCCGTCGTTTTAACTAAAAATTAAACGTAAGAAGATACAAAAAAAAGGTATGAATTAATGTTTATTAATATGATTTTTTAATGAAAAACTTATTTAGAATACTTTGCCGCTTGGTATTTTTCGTTCTGTTTTTCATATAATTGGAGATACTGAGCAATTGAACCCTTCAATTTCTCTGCAAATTCGTCGGCTTCTGTCTTCTTCAGGATCTGCTTCTAAATACGTCTCTTTAAATTCTTCAATGACACTATAAAATTTTTCTAGTTCTTTCTTTATCATCTTCATATGATGACTGGTAGATACGGTTTCTTCAAATTCTCCAAGGTTTTCGCAACTAAAACCGCCTTTGCTATTTTTTGCATCGATAAATGTACCTTAGAAATAAATTTTTTATCGATGTCATTTCAAATATCCATAATTTTTACTTTGCCTTCCATTTATCTTTTCATCAAATTCCATATATATTTCAACAGCATTTAAATCGGCTGACTGTGGCGCTAATTCTAATAGATTTAATTTAATTAAAAAAAAGACTCCAATGTTATGGAAATTTTCTATTTCTGAAAATTTCCAAACTATCGTAATCATTAGCATTTTAACCTGCAGATTTTATTCATAATCTTTTCATTTTTAAATGCATACATCTTTTGTATTTTTATATATCTTTTAATAAAAGTAAATATCTGTGTCAAATTATATCGTTCATATTTTTAATGAAAATGAGAAATTTCCTTTTAAGAGCTTCAAAATAAACATGAAAAAAAAAACATTTTCAAAAAATTTGAATTGAAACAAATATGTATTTTTATTATGGTCTGATATTATAAAATTTATCTATTTATAAGCGTCCAATTTTTAAATGCTGCTGTAGTTATTTGCTACAATTACGTAATACTTGACAGATTAAATAGTTACCCATTTTCCATTTTTAAATTTTAGAAACTTTTTAATTAATCGGTAACTATAAAAAATCAATTTTCAATTACTATAGTTAAACTGAAGAATATTCTAGTGAACTAATCGGGTATTCGATATGCACTAATCGAATTTTGCTATAATAATATCTTAGCGCACTAATTGAAAACTCATTAATCGAGGGATTCTTTTACATTCCTTTAATTTTTCATTGTATTTGTTCAATGTTCGAAAATGTTGCTGCACATCTGGATGAAAGCTGTTGATAAATCGTCCAGTGTTCACGTTTTGATCCGGTTTTTACCAAGATTCTAATTTAATAATTGTGTATTAAGTCGTATTTAATGAAACTTGTATAAAAGTGGGACTGATATATATATATATATATATATATATATATATATATATATATATATATATATATATATATATCGGAGACTTCAGAAAGACATGGTAATATTTTATTTCGCAAAATCGAGACTTCGATTACGCTTCATCAGACCAGACGGTTTCAAACAATGTATGGATTCAAAATTCTTCCAGGATCCAAAATTCTTCCAGGATCCAAACGAAAAACGAAAATTAACAGAAGTTGCGTTTTAATATAGTTCCAAAAAGTGGGAAAGGAAAGGGAAGAGGTAAGTAGGGGGTTATGTCTTCCATTGTTTGAAACCTCCTGGTCTGATGAAGCGAAATCGAATTATTGATTTTGCGAAATAAAATATTACCATAGCTTTCGGAAATCTCCGATTTCGTAATTATCATTTACTCTGTTATTACACTGAGCTCACTGGACTTATATCGTCCCTGTAATTATCCATACGGATTAGCAATTAACACTATCATTATATATATATAAATATATATATATATATATATATATATATATATATATATGTTTAAGCGTTTCACTCCAAGCAAGGCGGGAAGCCACTAGCACGCAAGGGGTTAGAGAAGATTTGGAGCAAGATCAGATAGGAGTGATAGAGGAAAGGACGAGGAGAAGGATAGTGGATAGATCAAGGCAACTGGAGATGTCGATTGACATTACATTTGAGAATAGTTAGGGATTATAGCTCTCAGGGAAACAGAAATAGGGAAGGGAGTTCCACAGGCGAGAGGTGTGAGATATGAAGCTGTTGAAGTAGAAGAGACGGCTACATTTAGGAGTTTCGACAGTGAAGGGGTGAGAGCGGTATGCTAGCCTCGTAGGGCGCTTGAATTCATGGAGTCTGGGAACCAGCGAATGCAGCTCCTCAGAGCAATTGCCATGAAAGTATTTGTAAAAAAGACAGAGAGAGGCGATGGCGCGTCTGTGAGAGAGCGACTGTAGACGAGATGCCAGATCAGGGCCAATTATATTGCATATCCACCTCTGGATCTTATCAAGAACCTCGAAGCCAACAGAAGGGTCTCCAGTCCCTATATGGCAGCAATACTCTATGCAAGGGCGAATTGTTGATTTGTATATTTGAAGTATCGATTCCGGAGAGAAAAATTTCCTGGCGCGGCACAGGAAGCCAACTTTCCTTGCGGTGGATGAAGCAATTGACTCAATTTATTTGTTCCATCTCAGGTCAGCAGTCAACGTGAGACCGAGCAGCCGCAGAGAGGTGCTCTCGAGAAGTTGAGCGTCAGGCATTCTAATGGAGGGCAGGGAAGGATCTCTGTGGTGATTAATAGAGAGAAGTTTTGTTTTTGAAGCATTAAAGTTGACCAGGCAATTCCTGCTCCAGTTCACAACCGATTGGAGGTCCTTTTCGAGACGTACGGCCAGGTTAGTTTTATATATATATATATATATATATATATATATATATATATATATATATATATATATATGAGCTGAAGATCAAATGTAGATCAGATAAAGACAAGAAACCGACAAGATGATAAAATGAAATACAGAACAAAGTAGAAAACAATTCTCAATCTAACATGTTTCATCTTTATTAAAGCTTCATCAGACATGGAGAATAAAAATGAAAAAGCAAAGACACGGAGCACTGTAATGATTTTTGGTTGTTCTCATTAGTCAGACATGCGTCACGTGTAAAATCTTTCAATAACATTTTCTACAAACAAAACTTTGGTTTAACCATGGGGTCACCTATCAGTGGTGTCCTCGCCTGCCTCTTTCTAGAAATCTTAGAATCCGTCCCATTTAAACATATCATATCTAACAGCTCGACTTACCTGAGATATATAGATGACGTCCTCTTAATTTATCCCCAACATATAAACTTATAAAACATAAAAAGAAACTCAATAATATTGAACCCACCATCGAATTTACACAGGAACTCGAAACAAACAACTCTCTACCTTTCCGCGACATCTTATTAATACGCAACGACGATAAATTAGATTTTAAAGTTTATCGGAAACTCATAAAGAAAAACGACCTAATCAATTTCTATTCCTACCATAACCAGAGAATAAAATCTGTAATAATCACAATGATAATCTACTTAGAATATGTAGCCCTGTACAATTAAATGAAGAATAGGAATATATTGAGAAAACGTTCAAACTATCCACACCATTTCATCCTCAACGCTAAAAAACGAGATCGCAAAATCTATACAACCAAAAAACAGATTGTCCCGAAAATTTGACAAAATTCATAGGCATTCCTTCCAACACACTTTCGACTAAACTCGTAAACGAATTAGCCATTCCTAAAACCAGGATCGTTACAACCATCTCCAAGAAAATCAGGGACATAATCAGGAAGAAAAATAAACCAAACACCATATCTAATGCTAGAATTTATCAGATTAAGTGTCAACAGTGCAAAAACATTTACGTGTAGGAGACTTCACGTGATCTAAAATCCCGGATCTATGAACACAAGAGAGAATTACGTTGAGACGGACATTCTAACTTTCTCGTCTTAATATCAAACGACGTAGGACATAACTTTGATTTCACTGATACCAGCATAACTAACAAAGAACATAATTCTTTAGAGAAAATATTTAGAAAATATATTCGTAGCATTATTACCCACTAAAAACACTCGCTTAAAACATTGCATCATATCACCATTTTTCTCCAGGTCCATTATTCATGAATCCAAATTATGTCTACAATATTGAGGATTTTACTAAGTCTCCTTTTTTTTAAAAAAAAATCTAACGAAAACTAGATTATTAGAATATCTTACTTCGTTTCACTAACCTACACAGAGTTGAAAACCACAGACTTTCTCCCTACATACATACACATACACGGAAATATAAAAATCCAATCAAAGACAAAATTATTTTGTAACATATCGCTACATTTCACCGGCAAAATACGAGGATGACATCTGTAGACTTCCTTCACATACACATTTATACACTTACATGAATTAACGTTACCGTCTTACATAGACTTACACACACAAACATTTCTGTACTTACACACTCTTATACCATCGTAC